CGGATCGGAAACGCGACCCACTGAAAAGATCCGGCGAGAAACTCAGTGGGCTGGCTGTGTCTGAGGGTTAATTTACTCGTCGAGCCCTTCGTCGCAAGCGACGGGTTCGACGAGAACGGTGACCGGTAATTTTGCGATTGTACATATAAGAACATGCCAAAGACCTGACATACTTGAGTTACAACCTTATGGCATTAATGCCGAGATATATTTTGTGGGTTCTGTCGATGTGTGTAAAATCGATATACAGTAGTAGCCTTGACTTGCATGCGGTCTCCCCGTGAAGGAACCACGCAACGTGCGCTCATGTTGTTGCGAGAATGCGGAATTTGTAAATAATGTACCTAATATGAAATCTAAAACTAATGTTCTTATGACCGGATTAGTAAATCCGATGTCATCCCGAAATCGGATTGAAATTAATTTACGAGCACTCAAAAATATTGTTTTTTTTGCCAAAAATCGTCGTATCTCGTCCCAAAATCGGTTTAACATTAAATCATGAGCCATAAAAAAAAAAATACATGTGTGCAATTCACACGTGGTAGAAGTGAAACCTTCCAAAATTAAAATACAATTATCCTAAACGTCTTAAGTATATGTAAAATTTTGTCATTAGTAAATAATTGTAAGGTAGCGCCCTCTGTAAATTGATATTTTAATTTCACGTATAATCCTAAATTAAAATTCACTACAAGAGCTTTCATACACACGTTAGTATTANAAAATTCACTACAAGAGCTTTCATACACACGTTAGTATTAAAAAATCTCACAGATGGCGCTGTATTAAATAGTATGTATATTTCTGTCTCATTCTTTGCTGGCTTCATCCTACACATTTTTGTATTTGTGTCTCTTACCTGTCGTTTTTTCCGTTGCATCCGGTTTGAAATCACAACGATTCTAAAGAAGTTTTCACTTCAAAACTGCCATTGCCAATAGTCGTCATTTTGATATCTACTTGGAACGATGGAAGTGTTTAGTTCTGTGAACGGGAAACATGATAACCGCTCGACATTGTTGACCTTGAATTTTGTGATAATTAATTATGGTGATTTGGAGTCTTCTACTTTTACCCTGAGGAGCTCGTCATATTAACGTTCCCTTGGAGCAGATTAAGTTGTAGCTTTATAGAATCTCTGCTGAAGAAATTGAAGATCTATAGTATTTTCACTGGTGGCAGGGCTTGTGAGCCCCACGGGTAGGTACTCGACCCAGTTCTGCCGTGAAGCAGTAATGCATTTCGGTTTGTAGGGTGGGGCAGCCGTTGTGCTGAAAACGGAGACTTAGGACTCGTGTCTCAAGTTGGGTGGCGATATTTGCGTTGTTGATGTCTATGGGCTCCGGTGATCGGCTTACACCAGGTGGGCTATGAGCTGGTCCACCCATCTTAGTAATCAAAGTGAAAGTATTTTGGTCATATTGCACGTGACAGTCTGATGTTGATTCACAAAGAGTACAAAGTCCTGTGCGATGGACAGATATGGTATCGGAACTCTCAAGAAACATCTCAACGAACCGCGTTCAAGGGAACGATCGAGGAAGATGAATGACGCTATACGTTAAGATAAAAATACGTAGCACGCATACCCAACGCAGCGGTATCACGAATACGTCGCGTGTACGAGGTCGCGGGTTTGAGGACTCGAGATATTTTAAACTTTGTTTATATTTATGGAATTTGAAGATACTGGCGCTCGGTGTTTTTTTTATAGCTTATTTGGGGGGACGAGCTCACAGCCCACCTGATGTTAAGTGGTTACTGAAGCCCATGGACATCTACAACGTAAATGCGCCACCCACCTTGAGATATGAGTTCTAAGGTCTCAGTATAGTTACAATGGCTGCCTCACCCTTCAAACCGAAACGCATTACCGCTTCACGGCAGAAATAGGCAGGGCGGTGGTACCTTCCCGTGCGGACTCACAAGAGGTCCTCTACCACCAGTAATTACGCAAATTATAATTTTGCGGGTTTGATTTTTATTACACGATGTTATTCCTGCACAGTGGAAGTCGATCGTAAACATATATTAAGTACGTATTTCATATGAAAAATTGGTACCCGCCTGCGGGATTCGAACACCGTTGCGTATAGATACGAATGCACCGGACGTCTTATCCTTTAGGCCACGACGACTTCATATTCTTTCGTTCGCTTTCTATCGTGCATTCCATAAGAAGTTCTTTGAAGCATTAATTGGTATTGTCATCTTTTACCACTGCATAGTGCGTTTTCAGAGGCTACTCTGACCATGCACCATCTAGATTGGAAGTGAGTCTACTGGTGGTAGGACCTCTTGTGAGTCCGCGCGGGTAGGTACCACCGCCCCCTGCCTATTTCTGGCGTGAAGCAGTAATGCGTTTCGGTTTGAAGGGCGGGGCAGCCGTTGTAACTATATGGGTAGCACATTTACGTTGTAGATGTCTATGGGCTCCAGTAACCACTTAACACCAGGTGGGCTGTGAGCACGTCCAACCATCTAAGCAATTACAAAAAAAAAAGTGTGCCTGCGATTTAGCTGACAGCTATTACACATCCTGGGAACGGGTTTGAGTTAGCCTTATCCGTATACAACGGTAATCACTCACCATGAAATGCGTCCTTCGACGAGATATTTTCGTGTGTGACATCAGCTCACGATCAAAGTCAAGCCTTAAAGTGTTCAGTGAAATAAGAATGCGAAAATGCGCAATTTATTCAACTTAATGGGGTGTTTATTACTCGTAATTATTGTCTGTCTGGCGTGTACAAGAGGGTTGGAGACGGTGACTCATAACGAGGGGTGACTGACACTTGCCAAGCTTTCCACCCCGATTCAGGGGAAATAAACTGAATTGAACAGAAAAAAACAAATAATAGTTAAAAAAAAACTAACAAAATACGATTTTATAGAAAATCCAATTAAAAAATAGAAAATAAATTTTAATAAATTTGATTTAAAAATAGTCTAAGAACAAATAATTTTATTGTAATATGCCTAATCGTTTAACAGCCTAATCGTTTATCTTAATTATTATAAGGCCGAGCAGAATTAAATCCATAAAATAATAATCTCATAATAGGTACTCAGATGATAGTAGTTCAGATACTAAAGTGTTTGTACACTTTTTTCCTACCTAAGCTGACCTTACCTACCTTACCTTACCTAACCTACCTTAGAGGGCTATACCAGCGTAATCGAACAGGAATATAAGTACATACGTCATCTTTAGTACAGTTAGAAATAAAAAAGCCCTTTGTCACATTACCGAAAAGATTAAATGAGACAACAAGACGAGATTAAAAGGTCAATTAATGAATTAACAAGTGAGTAATCGCCGGTAACAGATAATTAAGTGGTCGGTTTATTCAATTATCCAAGATTAGGAATAGGTACGTTCGAATCCTTCGTAATTAGGTTAGGGCGGATATTTGTGGAGGATAATACTTGTAATGGCCACGGAGCTTTTGTGAAATTACAGATACTGAATACGCCACGGTTAGATGTACTGACTTAGAACTCTTGTCTGAGTCTGTCTGTCTGTCTGTCTTTACGCCGTTGGTGTCTATGGGCTCCGGTGACCACTTAAGACGAAGTGAACCTTGATCTCATTCACACACGACTAAGCATCAAATAAAAAATATATATTTTAAAGCATTGTTGTGAAAATTCCATCCAAATCCGCAATCAATTTTTGTTGATTCAGCAAAACAAAGCAGCAAACTTTCACATTTATATTATTAGATATTTAATGTTAAATAAGATATGCATATTGAGTATACATCTAAAAATACAGTGTCATTGAGACTTCCACGTCTCAACGTTAGCGGCGTTATACGACCAAATATCCGATGACGTCACCAGAATTTGGATCAAAAGTGCGTCTTCCAACACTAAATTGCTGGATATTGAATATAAATTGTGTGAAAAAAAAATTTTCCTACCTATTTATTGGTAGTCTAAGGGGCTACTCCAGCTACCAGCTAGGCCAGGACGGGTAGGTGAGCTCACTGGCTCAACCTGAGTGAATTTGTTAGCACTAGTCCTAGCAAGAGCAGTGCGTCGCAGAAACTACCACCGGATCGGAATCGCGACCCATTCAATGGGCTTAATGTGTGTGAAATAATAGCACAACTCAAAAATGATCAAAGTTACAGTTTAAATAGATATAGGACTTATGAATTACTAGCTTTTACCCGCGACTCCGTCCGCGTGGAATAGTTACTTTGGCATAACGCTAAATTTTACGCCCGACTTCATTTACGTAGAAAGTGAAAATATTTTTTAATTATAGAATGTTAAGGAGCTATTTAAACCCCTATTTTGAAACATTCTTTATTGGTGCTCCACATACCGTGTCCGGTCTTACCATGATGTTATAATAGAATATAGCCTTTCTCAATAAACGGGCTATCTAACACTGAAAGAATTTTTCAAATCGGACCAGTAGTTCCTGAAATTAGCGCGTTCAAACAAACAAACTCTTCAGCTTTATAATATTAGTATAGATTGGAATTGAGCAGTAGGAAGGAGAAGGAATTATTGTTTGTAAAAATTTTACAATTCGATCGAAACACCATAGCACGTTTTAAAAAAATTAATAAAAAAAAAACATAATACATCAAATGGACTCGTTCGAATTTTTTCTTTTTTTTTATTGCTTAGATGGGTGGACGAGCTCACAGCCCACCTGGTGTTAAGTGGTTACTGGAGCCCATAGACATTTACGACGTAAATACGCCACCCACCTTGAGATATAAGTTCTAAGATCTCAAGTACAGTTACAACGGCTGCCCCGCCTTTCAAACCGAAACGCATTACTGCTTCACGGCAGAAATAGGCAGGGTGGTGGTACCTACCCGCGCGGACTCACAAGAGGTCCTACCACCAGTAAAAATCGAGTAGTAAAAATCGATTTAATCGAGTGTTAAACGTTCGCATAAATCTGCATTCCCGCACGAAAATACGGGACGCGAGCAACTTCGTAAACACTAACCTATCGAATTTTATTTCAGTTTTATAACGGAGCGCGCCCATCGAAATACGAATTTCCCGTACAAAATGGAGGAAGGCAAGAAAGAAATCAATTTAGATTCGATACTGGAGAGCTTGGGTCCGTACGGGCGCTACAATTTACTGAATTTCGTGCTCCTGCTGTACCCGGTCCTGCTGAGCAGCTTCTTCGAGTGCGGCTTTATATTCGAGGCTCAGGAACAGAATTACAGGTCGGTTTGGTTATAGCGTTTTAAAAAAAAAAACCTAGTATCTCAATTATTTTTTTTTCTCCTACCTATGCTAATAGCCTTGAGAGGCTATTTCAGTTTCACCCTAACGTTTGTAGGTGAGCTCACGGGGCTCAAACCGGAGTGTTGCTAACACTGACCCTAGCAAGAGCAGTGTTTCGCAGATACCGCCGGATCGGAAACGCGACCCACTGAGAAGATCCGGCAAGAAACTCAGTGGGCTGTGTCTATGGGTTCATTTGCTATGTCTATGGGCTCATTCGCATGAAGACGGTGACCGGTGCTTGTGGTGCCTAAAAGCACCGTTAATGGATCGGGATAATTTATCTCAATTGCAATTGAAGATTTGACAACATATTATGTTAAGAATAAAAAATTGTAAATACGCTTTAAGAACTCTTCCATCCATCTTGAGACATTAATTTCGAAATCTGCGGTGCTTATTTTGGAATAATGACTATTTTAGTCACAGACCTTTAAGACCCTTACGTCACAAAAGATGATTGCTTTCTGGGTGTTTCTGAAACAAATTACCACTTACCATTCGATGTCAAAGATCAAAATTGACAGACAGATGATGTCTTGGCTGGTTTTACTATGCAAAAAATACCATGTAGTGACATATACTCGTAAAAGCGCTCGTAAAGTTGCAGTTAAAAATGCCGCTTTTTTCACATTCCATATTAGTTTAAGTTAGATTTTCAATAGTTTTTGTGATCGGTTATTGGAACGCGCTATTTCCATGTTAACGAGGGTGAGTGACTTTTTTGCTAGCCACTATAGCCAATGGTTTCCATCGCCCATGGACGTCAGCAATACAAAGGGGCAGAGCCGCTGCAGAAAAATAACTAAAGTTTCAAAAACAGATCATTTTTTATTTCTGCTTATTGAATACTGGGCTCTGGTAGCCGGTAATAATAAAAAGCATTTTTTAGAAATAAAAGCAAAATTCAAAATGTTCAAAATGGATATTTTCAAACCAAACTACAGTTTTCCCTTTTGGGCTTTAAACGAGGCGACTTTAATAGAATTGTCCGAAATCAATTCGTGACATTTTTCGACTCCCTCAGGTACCGGCGTGGCAAGAATTTTGTGGCGTTTACTGGTGGTAGGACCTCTTGTGAGTCCGCACGGGTAGGTACCACCACCCTGCCTATTTCTGCCGTGCAGCAGTAGTGCGTTTCGGTTTGAAAGGTGGGGCAGCCGTTGTAACTATACTGAGACCTTAAAACTTATATCTCAAGGTGGGTGACGCATTTACGTTGTAGATGTGTATAGGCTCCAGTAACCACTTAACACCAGGTGGACTGTGAGCTCGTCCACCCATCTAAGCGATAAATAAAAAAGACAGCCAGACAGCCTCCAAACAAACAAGATCGAACTGGTTAATTAAATAAAACAATGATTTTCATTGTTATCAACTTTATTATCGGTTTGCGATTTGAACGATTAATAAAAATATAACCGTTATCGGCCTATAGACGTCCATTCTCAGACGTAAGTCTTTGAACAATAGTTCAAGTCCTTGTCCCACCGATAAGAAACTTATCAAAATTATTTTTGCACTATTAGTATATGTCGGCGTTAAGTCAGGGTTTTCACACATAAGTTCTTTTATAATGAAAAAACAATACAATTCTATAAAACTTTAACATTACTTGTTTACAACAAAAAGCCACGCCTGAGTTATTCAGTGGTTCTTACACAATTAGCCATTTTGTGATTGATGGTTATAGCAACTACAACTTCTTTTATACAAACAAATGTAATTACTGCGAAACAATTCACAAAATATAGCTTAATATTCACAATACATATTTTAGTGATTTTTACATGACTGACATTTAATTTATTTTACACGAATTAATTACTTTTAAGTAATATTAACTAACAATGTTATTATCCAGCCTAATAATAGATGGCGCCAACAACATCATTGTATAAAAATTACAATACTTAATTATTACTGTTAATTATAATATAAATTATTTTCAATATTTATGCTTTATTCATATTTAATTATTTATACAGTCATTTGTGTTTTTAAACAATAATATAAACATTAAACATATTCTGAACATTTTCACATCAGAACAGTGTCTGCTAATTATTAAATATGGTAGAATAACAGTTTCATCTTGCTAATAATAAATAAATATTAACATAGAATAAACTAAACTATATATTATTATGTTAATTATTGCCAATAGTGGCGTTTGCGCCCATATATACGTCGTTAGACAAATACAGAGTAAAAAATCTAATAGAAATGTCGCTAACGTAAAGATATTTCTCGTCGCTTTTCAGTGTAGTTCGTTTAAAAAAAAACTGTAAAATGATCCACGAATTGGGTTTTTTTATTGCCTAGATGGGTGGACGATCTCACAGCGTACCTAGTGTTAAGTGGAGCTCATAGACATTTACGACGTAAATGCGCCACCCACCTTGAGATATAAGTTCTAAGGTCTCAGTATAGTTACAACGGCTGCCCCACCCTTCAAACCGAAACGCATTACTGCTTCACGGCAGAAATAGGCAGGGCGGTGGTACCTACCCGCGCGGACTCACAAGAGGTCCTACCACCAGTAATTACGCAAATTAAAATTTGCGGGTTTGATTTTTATTACACAATGTTATTCCTTCACCGTGGCAGTCAGTCGTGAACATTTGTTGAGTACGTATTTCATTAGAAAATTTGGCACCCGCCTGAGATTTGAACACCAGTGCATCGCTCAACACGAATGCACCAGACGTCTTATCCTTTAGGCCACGACGACGACAAACTTGAATTGGCCACCCGGAAAATTTGCAAAAATGTCACTTAAACCAAATAACCTTTCATCTCTGTAATTGTATACAAAGGAAAGATCTAGTGACCTTACATTTACGAAGACATGTCACAAGCATATACCGATCTTTTATTCTGACACCTAATCATCTCGTTGGCCATTCACGGTTTCTATACACAACAATTAAATGAGTACTGGTCCCGCAGTAGTTGAAATTCGACTATAATATGAATTGAAATTGTATGTTTAAACATTATTATGGTTCTATTGTCAAATACTATTATATTTCTATAATATAATCACAAAATTCGCCAAAACTTACACTATAGATAAATAAAGACAAACAATATTAACCTATTCGGAATTTGACCACAGACTTTAAACATTAACAAAAGTTTGAAAATTGACAATAAACAAAGAGTATAATTATATGTATGTGTGTGTGTCAAATACATGGTAGTGTGTGTAATGTTTTTTTTATTGATTTAAGGTATGTTTTATGCATAATTTAAAAAAAATATTGCATTGTTCACTCCTCCTCTGTATTCTCTATAAGTGTGGGAAATTTCATATTTCTCCGTCCGCGCAATTTTCGTAAAAAGGGGCACAAAGTTTTTGCTTCACGTATTAATATATAGATAGACCTAAATTGGAACCATTAAACTTCACTTCCCAATATACCTGACCAACGTCAATCTTCTACATTTAAAACAGTCACCGGTGCCAATTACATAGCTCATCTCGCATACTCATTTCAATTTGAATACACCAAATATGATGCTCAAACTCCCCATATAGAAACATTAACGGCCGTCTGGTGTAGTGGTAAGTGACATGGTCACTACACATGGTGGTCGCGGGTTCGAATCCCGCCAACGGAGGATATTTGGATAATAAATATAAAATGTCTTTTCCAGGGTTATGGATGTATATTAAATATATGTATGTGTATAATAAAAATCTTACATTTATTTCCGTTATACCTGTAACACAAGTTCTTTACGAACTTAGCACGGGACCAGTTTATTTTTTTTTGCCCTTGTACGCAGACGAGCATACGACCCACCTGATGGTGAGTGGTTACCGTCGCCCATGGACTTCAGCAATGCCAGGGGCAGAGCCAAGCCGCTGCCTACCGCTTAATACTCTCCACAAGCCTCTTTTAAAAAAGAACATATCATAGCGCTCAGGAAACTCCGTGGAGGGGAGCTCATTCCATAGCCGGATGGTACGTGGCAAAAAAGTTAACGTGGCGTGATTGTTAGTAAATATTTATTATTATTATTGTTATTTTGTGCTTTATAATCCAGATTTCGATCTACAAACGACTTTATTACAGGAAGACTCATGAATCACTATTTGCGAACGTGTCGAACGCATGATAAATCATTAGACATGTTTTGCTCTGAACAATGTATCGATAACCTTATCAGCTCTCGAACTGAGATAATTAAATCGATAACAATCGATGTAAACGATAAACGTAGTACGAAATACTATGCATTAAGAACACGTCTGCGTTTTAAAAAAAACCTAGTATCTCAATTGCAATTGTGGCCTAAAAGATAAGACGTCCGGTGCATTCGTGTTGAGCAATGCAACGGTGTTCGAATCTCGCAGGCGGGTACCAATTTTTCTAATGAAATACGTACTTAACAAATGTTCACGATCTACTAAAAAAATAAAAAATCAAACCAGCAAAATTATATTTTGCGTAATTACTGGTGGTAGGACCTCTTGTGAGTCCGCACGGGTAGGTACCACCACCCCGCCTATTTCTACCGTGAAGCAGTAATGCGTTTCGGTTTGAAGGGTGAGGCAGCCGTTGTANCGAGTACCATTTTTTCTAATGAAATACGTACTTAACAAATGTTCACGATCTACTAAAAAAATAAAAAATCAAACCAGCAAAATTATATTTTGCGTAATTACTGGTGGTAGGACCTCTTGTGAGTCCGCACGGGTAGGTACCACCACCCCGCCTATTTCTACCGTGAAGCAGTAATGCGTTTCGGTTTGAAGGGTGAGGCAGCCGTTGTAACTATACTGAGACTTTAGAACTTACATCTCAAGGTGGGTGGCGCATTTACGTTGTAAATGTCTGTGGGCTCCAGTAACCACCCATCTAAGCAATAAAAAACAACTTGAGACATCAATTTCGAAATCTTCATTAGATATTTTGGAATAATGACTATCCTACCCTTTAAGTCAGAAAAGCTTGGTTTCCATGTGTTACCGTAATTACCACTTACCACTCGATGTCAAAAATCAAAATTGACAGACCGATGATGTATTCGTTAATTTTATTACGCATAAAAAAACAATATGTAGTGATTTAAAAATGCGCTAAAAGTTGCAGTTAAAAATGCCGCTTTTTTTTTAAACAGATGCGAAGTAGACGGCTGTGAGTTAAGGTTTAATGATACATCCTGGCTGCAGTACGCTATCCCGCTGGACGTGGAGAAACAGCGTCCTCAATCCTGCTTCATGTACGAGCAAGCAAACGTTACGAGTCAGCAGTGTTTGCCTGAAGACTTCATCAATAAAACTGTGCCCTGCGAGAGTTTTGTTTACGAAAACGATTATTCTTTTGTCAAAGAGGTAAATTTTGGTTTTATATTGCTTCACTCTCAGCACGTTGATCGCCATACGGTCCACTGGTCATTAGGAAATGATTAGGAAATATCATTTAGAATGGATGAGGCAAAAAGTCATAGAAAATGTGTTATAGATGGTGACAAACAAATCTTATTATCCTTTAAACGAGCAATTCTTGTATATTAATATATATGTACATATATAATCTGAATCTAGGAAACGGCTCTAACGATTTTCATAAAATTTAGTATACAGGGGATTCCGGGGGCCATAAATCAATCTAGCTACGATTTATTTTCAGAAAATGTTGTTTTATTCGTGTTTTCAATAATCAACTCTTCCCGACATCTATTGTTGAATAATAATACTGTTTTTCTTAATTGAGGGCAACTAACCGCTTTAAAGACACAAGATGGCGTTATCAAAAAAAAAAAATCTAGTCAGGTCATCATCTAGTTCAATATTAAGTTAACACGGTATTCACTCATGTACATATATGAATGTGGACAATTACAATGATTAATCACAAATATTACGTACCCAGGACCCGATGCACACAGATACAGCTGTATAACTAAACATTGCACGTTACCTTTTAGGTCCAATATGCAGTGTTCAACCCACGATATTCTTGGCCATGACACATGCCTTGAATCAATATTCTCGACTGCTACTTCAACTTTATAATGTACTAGTAAAACAGTGTTGCGCTTCGCTGAGACTATTAAACTTTGAAACACACAGCTTTTGCTAATTTGCTAATAAATTCGAAATATGTTTGAATATGGTTTGAAGGGTGAGGCAGCCGTTTTACTGTAAAAACTGAGACCTTAGAACTCATGTCGAGGTGGGTGATAGTATTTACCTTGTAGATGTCTATGGGCTCCTTTAACTACTAAACACCAGGTGGGTCGTGAGCTCATTCACCCATCCGAGCAATAAAAAAAAAAAAAAATTTCATTCAGTGCGGTGTTTAGAGTTGAAGAGCATAGAAAAATAACACATAATAGTCAAAGCGTAAGGCATGGTATCGCTTATTAAATAATAACTCATAGACATGGCAAAATAAATACCGCCTCCCACCTCAATACATGAAGACAGTCTCGGTTGTAATTCAAAATATCCTTGCCCGTCTATACCCGATCCTGTAGGCCGAATGGTAAACAGTCGACGTCGCCCAAAACACGTCATTACGGATCCTCCCGATCCATTAATGGTGCTTTTAGTTACCACAAGCACCGGTCACCGTCCTCGTCAAACCCGTCGCTTGCGACGAAGGGCTCGATGAGCGAATTAACCCATAGACACAGCCCACTGAGTTTCTCGCCGGATCTTCTCAATGGGTCGCGTTTCCGATCCGGTGGTAGATTCTGCGAAGCACTGCTCTTGCTAGGGCCAGTGTTAGCATCCCACCGATTTGAGCCCCGTGAGCTCACCTACTAGTTAAGGTTACGCTGAAATAGTCTCTCAAGACTATCAGATTAGGTAGGAAAAAACAAATGACTTGCCCGTCTCCTGAAGTTGAATTGGAATAGTCTTAATCTCGCTGCCAATTGAGGGTAGTTACAACGCAAGTATTTTTTTTAGTTCAACCTTGTCTGCCAAGAATGGAAACGAGCGCTAGTCGGAACCATCCATAATTCTGGAATGTTTGTGGCCATGCTGTTCACTGGAGCCATATCGGATAGGTTCGGGAGGAAAGTTGCTGTAGGGTTTTCTTCCTGCGCAAGCTTCATATTCGGATTCGCTCGATCTTTCTCGCCGAGCTATCTGTTTTTCGTTGCCATGCATTTCCTGGAGGCTGGTTTCGGCGGAGGACTTTACCCTTCAGCTTATGTTTTCAGTAAGTAACCATACGAAAATATTTATATATATTAGTTTAACACGATAAGCGTCCCGACGGACACCATGTGTCCACAACGTACTTTCGTCTAGGGCAGTGTTTCCCAACCTTTTTTGTGCCATGCCCCACTGTAACATTTCTAAAATTTTTGTTGGCCCTCAAATACAATTTATAACATACAAAAAAATGATTTTTTCACATAAGAAACATAAATGATTGGTTTTAGGAAGAAATCACTATGAAATTGTTATGAAAACACAGTACGTATTATAATATTTCAAAACATATAATAAAAAAACCGAAATTCAAATTCAAAATAATTTCAATATAGATTTTTGATATGAATTTAATGCGATTGCCCCCCTTAATTATCAAACTGCCCCCTGTGGGGCGTGGGGTCACGTTGAGAAACACCGCTCTAGGGCCACACCAATATATCAATAATGATCCAAAAAGCGTTGAGGTGTCCTTTCGCAAATATTATCAAGAAATAACTCAATAATAATTGGGCGACTTACGGATACAGTGACTACTCATTACACCTCTCCACGAGACCCGACCTATTGGCGGTCACAGTGTGTCCATCGCAGCCTACTGAACTAAATAAACATGGTTTCAAGTCTGGCGTTCATTGTCTTAATAATGACAGTCGCACTAAACGCAACTGTCGATGATGTTATTGGAATGTACCAAGATATTTTAAGCATATTATCTACACGAACGAATACCGAAGCCAATATAAACAATGCTATCATATAATTTGAAGAAAGTCTATACGGTCGCCTTCGATTTCAAGATATCACTGCGTTAATATTGCTGTGGGCACAAGTCAATACTCCTTAACCAGATGTTCTCGCATTTTAACAAGCCAAGACGAACTAATCTGTTCTATATAATAAGTTCTAAGGGATATTCGTGAGATGCGTAAGTTTGGACGCCCCATTCCCATGACATCACGACCACTCTGTCAAGAGATAAACGATTGAGAAGAACAGACGAACACATCCCACTAAGGCCAAGTGATAACCGAAGCCCATACCGTGAATTGTGTTGTGTGAAATTGGTACAACAATTTGTTTTACGCCAACAATTGACAGGTTAATTAAACAGTATAAATTACAAAAGCGTAAAGAGAGCCGTAGGGCCTTGCGATATATTGAAACCGGTATCTGTGGTGGGAAAAGTGAAATCTGTGTAATGAATTATAGTTTAATGGCTGCGCTAAAAACAGCCGGTCTCGTTAGCGGACTCTCGAATTTCAATAACGAATAAATTATTTGAAGGTGTAGGTACAAAGTTCGTTTTCGTCACGTCAGTGAAGCAAAGTTCATTAAACCCCGACCATATGTTACGCGCGAACGTTATTTAACCTTCATCGTTCTATTTATAGTTGTGGAACTGGTTGGCCTCAAGCAACGGGTCATCGTGTCGGCCATGTGCAACATGACCTTCGTTATCGGCGTCGTTCTCATAGCCCTTCTGGCCTGGGTTGTAGACAACTGGAGGACATACATCCTAATCCTGTACTGCCCCGCCACAATCGTCTTCGTATACGTTTGGTTTATGAACGAAAGCGCGCGCTGGCTTCTCAGCAAAGGACGAAGGGACGAAGCAATTGACGTACTGAAACGCGCCGCCAAGATCAACAATCTAGACCCGAGGAGTCTGGATCTAGACGCGCTCGGAGATCCCCTGCTGAAACCGCAGAACCAAACCGGGGACAAAAAGTCTCAGATGTACAAGGCCATCAGATCTGGTATAATATGGAAACGGGTCGCGATTTGCTCGTTTCTATGGATGACGTGTTCCCTAGTGTACTATGGCTTTTCTATTAATTCGGTTTCTTTAAGTAGCAACAGATACGTTAGCTTCATGCTCGTGACGTTAGTGGAGATACCTGCCTATATTGTGGTAGTCATCGTGCTGGATAAATACGGGAGGAAGAAAACTTTATTGACGACTTATCTAACTTGTACGGTCATGAGTTTGCTGTTCGCTTTCTTGCCAAGATGTAAGTATTTTGTTTTTTAGTTTTTCTTTTGTTTGTATTATTTCAAGGAAGCGACTGTTAAGAACAAAACTGCGACTAGGTTACACAGTGGTACGGGTAGTATTGATAAGTCCTATTAAACATTAACAACAATATGACTGTTAATACTGACGGCTGATAAAAGAGAATGGAAGAGAAAAATTAGGTGTGCCGACCCCACCTAGTGAGATAAGGTGGAGAAAAAGAAGAAGACCGTTAATACTTAACACATAAAGACAACTGGTGGTAGGACGTCTTGTGAGTCCGCACGGGTAGGTACCACCACCCTGCCTATTTCTGCCGTGACGCAGTAATACGTTTCGGTTTGAGGACGGGGCAGCCGTTGTGCTTTACACTAAGACCTTATTACTCATGTCAAGGTGTCTCAAGGTGGGTGGTGGCATTCACGCTGTTGATGTCTATGGGCTCTGGTCACCACCTAACACCAGGTGGGCCGTGAGGTCGTCCATCCGCGAATAACAACGTGTCACAATAATAAAACCGGCAAAGATTTTAATTCGCGTAATTACTGATGGTAAGAAGTCTTTTGAGTCCCCACGAGTAATAAACCATCAGTGCGTTCCAGTTTTAATGGTGGGACAGCCCTAAATCTACACAATTACGACCTAGACCTTAAATCTTTAGATGAGTGATGGCATTCACGTTGTACTGTCTGCAGTCTTAAAAAGCATATGTTTAAAATTCAATCTAATTAATTTCAAGGTTTTTTTTGCGTCAGCATTACTTAAATAGCTATGCTGACGCTTAAATCACGCCTGTGTTTCGAAAGTATGCGTAAATGTCTTTTTTTTATAATTCATCATTTAATTTGGCTTACTGATCTATTTGTTCGAACCACAACCGCATTAATATTGTCTACGGATGACCTTCATAATTTGAATACGTACGTATTATATTGGCACGTACATAAATCTTTCAATATGTATGTGCCGATACAAAGTTAGTGCCGTGAGTCGTGACAGCGGTGGACTGGTTCGTCGTGAACATCGACCTGCATGATGACCTGGACCTAAAGTCCATCAGTACGTATCTACAGTCGGCATCAATGCGCCACTTCGACAAAGCGCCACGACACGAGAAGTGTGCACACGAATGCTTTTAGGTATCTCAAGCACCGGTCATCGTTCTCGTCGAACCCGTCGCTTGCGACGAAGAGCTCCACGAGTAAATTAACCCACAGACACAGCCCACTGAGTTTCTCGCCGGATTTTCTCAGTGGGTCGCGTTTCCGATCCGGGGGAGATTCTGCGAAGCACGACTCTTGCTAGGGTTCGTGTTAGCAACGTCGTTAGGTTTGAGCCCCGTGACCTCACCTACTACTTAAGACGACGCTGAAATAACCTCTCAAGGCTATCAGCTTAGGTAGGGAAAAAAATCGGTGAACAAACGGATTTACCACCCTACTGTCATTGACAATGGCCACGACGGCGGTAACCTTTAGGTGGGCTAATCAGAGAGCTATAGTAAAAAGATGCACAAAAATAGACAAGTAGGTACCACCACCCTGCCTATTTGTGCCGTGAAGCAGTAAAGCGTTACGGTTTGAAGAGTAGGGCAGCTGTTGTACTATACAGAGACCTTAGAACTCATATCGGTGGCGGCTAGGGCATCGAGCCCGGGTTTACCCGGACCGAAAAAACCCGGGTTTTCCCGGTTCTGAGCATTACAAAAAAACCCGGGTTTGATTTTTAAAACTCGGGTTTTTCGGGTTTTTTTAATACTTTTGTTTTTGTTATTTATTAAGTTTAAGTCACTTCGAATGCAATAATAAGTAAATGGAATAAAAACACGCTTTGATAAATTGTTATTTATTACGTAAAAAGTAGCTTCGTTGCTACGTTCCTCGCGCGCGTTCATCTCAGGACATGAATGGGGTGAAGTGTGGAGCAGTGGAGAGGTGAGGGTGTAGCGAGCTCGTCGCGCGTTGCGCGGGTGATGAATACCGATGAATAGTATAGAAGACTAGAACTATTCGTTACTTAATTGTTAATGCGAAGAAGAGTTTTATTAATGTTAAAATTATTTGTGATACTACAAAAATGTCTTTTGAAGATATTATTTTTATTAGCTTTTAAATATAATAAGTGAATGTTACCAAAATAATTAATTTAATGTTAAAACTAATCTCTGCAATTCTGTGATTTAAAAAAATACTAGATTACTTACGAAGTTTTAAGATATTCTGAAGAAAAAAATNTAATGCGAAGAAGAGTTTTATTAATGTTAAAATTATTTGTGATACTACAAAAATGTCTTTTGAAGATATTATTTTTATTAGCTTTTAAATATAATAAGTGAATGTTACCAAAATAATTAATTTAATGTTAAAACTAATCTCTGCAATTCTGTGATTTAAAAAAATACTAGATTACTTACGAAGTTTTAAGATATTCTGAAGAAAAAAATAAACCTTTATCACTTTCTTAAACATTAATACTGTTTCTGTAATTTGTAAAGTACTGTTTCATTTATTTCAATTCTTCCTCGTCCTTTATATTTTGTACTCGTTGTAGGAAATCGATATATAAACGCAGATTAGTGTATTTTAAACAATTACAATAACAAGATCGAAATGCTCGAAAAAACCGGTCTACCCGGGTTTTGATTACTCTTGACCCGAAAACCCGGGTTTTCAAAAATGAACCGAGTTTCGATGCCCTAGTGGCGGCATTTACGTTGTAGATGTCTATGGGCTACGGTAACCACTTAACATCAGGTGAGCCGTGAGCTCTTCCGCCCAACTAAGCAATAAAAAATAAAAGATGGACGGATCGGACGTCAGTACTGACAATGCTGGAAAACGATTGTGGTTCCAAGTTACAAGTTACTTACACTAAACTTCGTATCATTACGTTTTTTTTATTGCCTCTTTAGGCAGATGTGCATACGGCCCACCTGACGGTAAGTGGTTACCGTCGTTCGTGGACGTCAGCAATGCCAGGGGCAGAGCCAAGCCGCTGCCTACCGTTAAGTAGTCTCCGCAAGCCTCGTTTGAAGAAGGACATGTCATAGCGCTCGGGAAACATCGTGGAGGGGAGCTCATTCCAAAACCGGATGGTACATGGCAGAAAAGATATTTGAAAACGTACTGTGGATGAACGCAGCGATTCCAGATAATATGGATGGTCTCTACTCCGATGGCGGGAGTAGTAAAGATAAATTACGTACGCGTCGGTATTATTACATATTATGATTACGTACGCGTACGTATTATTACGTATGATTGCGTACGCGTAAGTGTTATTACGTATGATTACGTATGCGTACGTATCAAGTAATAAAAAAGATTATTAATGCACCGATTAAGTCTTACGTTCCAATTTCAACTCCAAGTCTTAAGGTGATGTCCATGCTGTCCAAAAAACGTCTAATATAAGCAGTGATCGACGACGAAACACAATTTTCCATCAGATCCAATAACCCTTCCTTGTTACGCCTTCAGCTCTAACGCTAGGAGCAGCCTTACGGACTCCGGTAACCCTACGAGCAACCTAACCTCAACATCAGCCCGCTGAGTTTCTCGTCGGATCTTCTCAGCGGGTCGCGATTCCGATCCGGTAGTGGAATCATTCGCGAAGCAACTACTCTTGAGTTGTTAGGTCTCTCTTGGAGGCGATCGGATACCTATTAGCAAATTCCACCCCTCCTGACTGAGCCTTTGCTCCTGTCACTGGCGAAACTGGAAAGGCCTTTGGGCCACCAGTAAACCCTCAGATGTCATTATTCATTGGAAGGTTAAAACCGTGAACACATTCTGAATCCCTACGGAATATTCTTACATAACACTCATTGCCATCAAACAAACAATGTTACATCATGATTACTGAGGTCAAATAAAAATTGCAATTTTAAAACCACAATCGTTATATGAAAATCGCATTTAACACACAGATGACAAATAATAAATAACCACTCACAATGACATAATGTTTAATGGTGGGAAGATATATAAATAAGTTAACGTGCATTATGTTACGGAAATATTTTATGTTGTAAATTTATTGAAATGTCTAATTCAGCCTGGGTGTGTATTGCACGTGCTATTTCAAGAAGTTTATTTGACTCTGTCTCTCTCTAAGGCGAGCGTGTGACATTAATTAGCCCGTAAGTTTTCGGCAGTTAGCAGAATCTACTACAACGTTAGATACATTCACAGAGTTCTTTATATGGCCGATAATGGCCTTTTATGTAAGAGATCATAGTTTCGCGACTTAGAGTTTTTCATTGATTACTAATAGATTCAACAAAATCTCGCATTTAAAGGTGAGTTCAAAGTTGTTTGCATTAGGGTTTATTGTACTACGATTGATTTTTAATTAAATATAAAAAGATATGGTGTCGTGGGACACCAGGTAGGAACGAAGTTCCTTCGGCTAATGTAGAATCGACAAAATTTGCAAAAAAAAAATCGTGCTCAATTTTATGTAGGTTTTCTTGATTTTTCTCTTAAATTTTGCTGATTAGTTTTTATTTAAGTACAGTATTGAGGAAATTCAGTATTTTAGGAAATAATAAATTACGTAAAATAAAAAAAAATCGTAATTCAAATTATTAATTAAAATAACAAAATATGTCTCTTTATTTCTGTTTGACAACACAAAATTACATAGAAATAGAAATAATTACAAAATATTTTATATTTATAAATAAACTAATACTTACGTATTTAATTCTTTTGCACTGAATAATTTCCCACTATTATCACTGCCAATTTCATTCAAGTCACTTGTTAGTTCACTTGCCATTGTTACTATATTTATTATTGTTTTGACAATTTGAAATTATATGAAAATAAACGTGGCTACTCACGAGTAAAATGTACCTATAATGTGAGTATTCGCCACGTGCTTGTCCATGAATTCATGAGTATATACTCTGCATTGGCGGAGTGGAGTGGTAATAGAGAGAGAAGGGATGAGAGAACGAAAAGAAAGAAGGAGAAAGATAAAGGTATTGTGTATACGACTCGCTTGTGTATACGACTGTCGCGCCTGCGCACGTCTCATTTAACGGTTTTATTCCACGGACTTTTTCTTACGGTTTTATTATCACAGTTTTTTCAATTCGGTCGCGCAGCAAAATCCATATCTCCTCCAAGCCTGCCGTAAGGAACTTCGTTCCAAAAATATCGAAAAACAGTAGGTACAACAGTCAAAACTCAGAAAATAAAATGAAAATTCTTCAAGAAACCCTGATTCTGTCGCTGATTTGCTGATTAATAATCTGTCTTCCAAATAATATAAAAAATCTTAGTAACAAACGCCTATACTATGACGCCGTCAAACATCTGGGCAGTTTGCAAAACTTAAATTCTCCAACTGCGCTACGACACAACGTAAATAACTTCCTATACAAAGCATCACAAATCATAGAAATGAAAAACACGTTGAGCTTCGAACTAGCATCGTACTTATAGATACAATGTTATATAAAATTATATGACGGTTTCTATGGTAAATTATGTATGCACTATGATTTAGTCTAGTAATGCGGTTTTATCGATTTTGTAGTTGTCGAAAAGTAAATACATACAGAATTTACAGAAACGGGCTGTTCAAATGGTCGATAGTCTTGCTCTCGCGGATCGCTTGGGACCTCTGGGTCTAGGGAGGGACTTCGGTTCTCTCTGTGTTTTATACCGTATGGTCCATGGGGAATGCTCTGAGGAATTATTCGAGATGATCCCCTCATCTCCTTTTTATCTTTGCACCTCCCGCCATAGGAGCAGAGTTCATCCATATTACCTGGAACCGCTGCGTTCATCGACAGTGTGTTTCCAAAGATCTTTTCTGCCACGTACCATCCGGCTTTGGAATGAGCTCCCCTCCACGGTGTTTCCCGAGCGCTACGACATGTCTTTCTTCAAACGAGGCTTGCGGAGAGTACTTTATGGTAGGCAGCGGCTTGGCTCTGCCCCTGACATTGCTGACGTCTATGAGCGACGGTGACCACTTACCATCAGGTGAGTCGTATGCTCGTCTGTCTACAAAGGCAATAAAAAAAAATACTATGCAACGGTTTTCTTATAACAACGTAAATCCCGCTACCCACTTTCAGACATGAGTTCTAAGGTCTCAGTTTTAACAGTACAACGGCTGCCCCACCCTTTAAACCGAAACGCATTACTGCTTCACAGCAGAAATAGGCAGGGCGGTGTTACCGACCCATGCGGATTTACAAGACGTCCTACTACCAGTGTTCTATGTATTTACGTTTTTTATCTTGATACAATCGATTGTATTAACAGCCATGACCGACCCATTGACTACTCCTGCTCTAGATGATCGGAAAACTGACGACAGCCAAGTTACCGCCTCCCATACACATCACAACCTAAACAACGCCACCTTAAAACAAGAGGTTGAACTTTACGGCCACTAGATCACTGGAGTCAACTTTACAACTAAACGCCTTGATGGTACTTTTATATCCATACCAGACTTAGTTTAGTATAACTTTACTTTTTCCCTACCTAATAGCTGGTAGCCTCTAAGGCCTGGTTTACACGGCATTGTCCTGCACGTTTATTTGCAGTATACGTCTTAACGAATGAATAGTAGAACCGCGCAGGAGCCAGTCACCGTCGACGCCCTAGACACGTCGTTACGGATCCATCAGATCCAATAACCTTTGCATTAGACGCCTTCAGCTCTAACACTAGGAGCAGGCTTAGGGACCCCGGTAACCGTACTCGTCGAACTCGACAAAGAGTTCGCCGTGCAACCTAACCCATGAATCAGCTCGCTGAGTTTCTCGCCGGATCTTCTCAGCGGGTCGCGATTCCGATCCGGTAGTAGATTCATTCGNCGGATCCATCAGATCCAATAACCTTTGCATTAGACGCCTTCAGCTCTAACACTAGGAGCAGGCTTAGGGACCCCGGTAACCGTACTCGTCGAACTCGACAAAGAGTTCGCCGTGCAACCTAACCCATGAATCAGCTCGCTGAGTTTCTCGCCGGATCTTCTCAGCGGGTCGCGATTCCGATCCGGTAGTAGATTCATTCGCGAAACAGCTACTCTTGAGTTGTTAGGTCTCCTTCGGAGGCGCTCGAGTAGCTGTTAGCAAATCCCACCCCTCCTGGCTGAGCCTTTGCTCGCCCACCTATCCTGGTGAAACTGGAAAGGCCTCCGGGCCAGCAGTAATCCTTCAATCATAAAAAAAAACATAGTACCGTTGACGTGTCGTTTTTACTGCAAAAAATCGTTTACCACTAATGCGTTTAAACGAATACTCAACGGACTTGTCATGCAAATCAAATGAACTTTAACGTTGCAGTGTCGTATAGCTCTGTCTCGTTCACACGTTCGTTTTTACACGAATGAAAACACCCGGTTGATTGTACGTTAAAATAACGAATACAAAGAAAACGTGCAGGATAATGCCGTGTGAACCAAACCTAAGAGGCTATTTTAGCTACGCCCAGACGGGTAGGTAAGCTCACGGGCTCAACCTGAGAGAATTTGCTAACCCTAGCCTTAAGCAAAAGCACTGTTTCGCAGAATCTACCACCGGATCTGAATCACTGAGAAGATTCGGAAAGAAACTCAGTGGGCTATAACTTTACATATATGTTGACTAATTGTTGCAGCTGATTACTGGTCGATACCGCTATATCTAGTTGGGAAATGGAGCGTCACATTAGCCTACAGTTCCGTCTATATATACGTGTCGGAAGTCTTCCCTACTAACATGAGGCAGACTCTGATAAGCGTCTGCTCTACGGCTGGAAGAATCGGCTCTCTAATAGCTCCTTTAACGCCACTACTGGTAAGCACTACTATTTTTTTTTATTAAATATCAATGGCTGTTGGGTACTCGACCTTTAAGCCAATCTTAGTTGTTTTAATGTACACACGTATGTTTTCTTCAATAGGCCACTTAGCGTAACACATTTAATTACTCTTCGTTACCATCAGGCCATTGACATTGCAATATTTATATTAAATCTATTTCATTATTTAGCGCCAAAAAAAGCATGGCTTCAAAAAATAGCGGCGTTAAACAACATTATTATTGTTTTTTATTCTGCTTTTAATATATGTAATAGATATGCACACTTATTGTTAAAAAAAGTATTTACTTCGTAACACAAATATTGATCGCTTTTCTCATCGAAGTATTACCTAGGTTTTATTTAATTATCAACACGAAAATACATTCAAAATATGTTATCTCTTCAAACAGTCATATTACCACAAATCGATGCCAACTGTGATCTTCGGAGCGATGTGCTTCATATCGAGCACTCTGGTCATGATGCTGCCGGAGACCAGGAACATGAGGCTGCCGGACACGATCGAGGAGGCCGAACACCTCTCCAGAATGAAAAGCAAGAACGGCGACACCACAGACTGACGACCTAAATAAACATCAGTTTTAAACGGTCCTCCAATAATAAGCTCGTTTTTTTAACGTGTTAATAAAAAATAGCATAGCGATTATTAATTTATAACGTGCGAAAACTTCCTTTAACTGGTGGTAGGACCTCTTGTGGGTTCGCACGGGTAGGTACCACCGCCCTGCCTGTTTCTGCCGTGAAGCAGTAATGCGTTTCGGTTTGAAGAGTGGGGCAGCCGTTGTAACTATACTATGACCTCAGAACTCATATCTCAAGGTGGGTGGCGACATTTACGTGGTAGATGTCTATGGGCTCCAGTAACCACTTAACACCAGGTGGGCCGTGAGCTCGTCCACCCACCTAAACAATCATCCCTCGATAAGTGACAGTAAAATTAATCATTACACTAAAAACGCGATTTAAATTAACTGTCACATTGGATGGTGGTATACGCGATGTGACGATCATTGGTTTTTTCAACACCCATAACAACCGATCAATGTGAATAGATACGTGGTTTCAAACGTATTATATGTATTTTAAGATCTAAAAAATAATATGCAGTCGTTTTAAATTTACCTAATAATCATGTGAAGCTTTTAGCCAATGCCGTTGAGGTCGCATTAAATCGAATCTTAGTTAAGCTCCCTCAAAATATCCGAGCAAAACTTTCGTTAAACGATAGTTCGTATGACGATTTCTTTCCCATCCCGATTATCACATCTCGATTGGCACTGACTAAAAACTAAAACCAATTTAGGATGCCATTTTCAATTCTACATTCACTTTTCGAGAGAACAAAAAAACAATTGTTTGCATTAGGGCCAAAATAAAGGAACTGCTTAGAATATAATAATATACAAAATAGCAGACTAATGTTAAAACTAGCATAAGTATTCATTACTGTTTCTAGCTTTTATATCTACTAATTGGAAAATGCCAAAAACAAAACCTATATCTAGCGCGTTTTTATTAACTTGAATCGTTTATTTTCAATAATTCGATCGAAACAATCATTAGATTAACTTGAAAATTTGGATACGCGCGACAGTAATTTTACTAGTACGCTAGAATATCCTGATACATAGAATATATAGAATATCCTAATACAATCAGGATAAAGGATCAATTGAATTGGTCATGTTCCTAAGGATCAAATACGCAAAATTATAGTTTACGTAATTACCAACAGGCGTATTGTAAGCCTTCACGGGTCAGTAGCAATATCCTACCTATTTCGGCTACGAAACAGTCTTGCGTTCCGACTTGAAAGATGAGTCAGTCGACAGCAATTTTGAGTCTTCGGACTCTTGTCTTAAGGTGACATTCGCATTGGATGGCGCCTGCTAACCACGGCACTGCAACAAATATCAATAACTAGTTGACCCGGCAGACTTCGTAGTGACTCAATCGATAAATAAAAGACCTAAACTTTTGTATAAAATAAACTTAAAACAAAAGGAATCCGCCCGACGGGGGACACATCAAAGAAAAAAACAAAATTGTTATTCTTATTTAATTCCGAGAATTTTCATATTTATCTACCTTTCAAACCTTCTCTGGATTTCCACAAATAATTCAAGACCAAAATTAGTGAAATCGGTTCAGCCGTTCTCGAGTTTTAGCGAGACTAACGAACAGCGATTCATTTTTATACATAGAGATAATCATTCAAATCAAAAGGACTATTTATACAGCTGTTTATACATTTGTAAGCTAAACCTTCTATAACGCGGTAGATACGTTCCTACAGAGTCCCGTGTTGTGCGAAACCGTGTTATATGAGACTAGAAGCCAATACAAAAAGGAATGTATTTTTTCTAAGTGAAACATCTCAACTATGCCTGTATGTATGTAAAGAAAAACCTTCATAGTCTAAAACTCTTTAGTTTTCTAAAAAGGATTTTTCTTATCATTCAGTGAAGTTTGACATTCAGTAAAAAGAAGGTTCAGTTTGTTTAAAAATATTAATTTTATTAGATTACCTAAGGGCCTTTAAATGTTGTTTTATAATTATATTGGGTACTCCAGTATAATAAATAAACAATAAAAGACTTAATTGCGTTTTCTGTTATATGTATATAATGAGAAAACAACATTTAAAGAAAAATCCTTTTTAGAAAACTAAAGAGTTTTAGACTATGAAGGTTTTTATTTACATGTACATATTTACAGACAAAAAAATAAACAGTAAAATTTCGGTTATCTTAATTTAATTATCGCGTATTCGTGGTGCACAATGTAATTTTGTAAATTATTTTAAACATTTTTTTTTCCCTACCTAAGCTGATAGCCTTGAGAGGCTATATCAGCGTAACCTTAACTAGTAGGTGAGCTCACGGGGCTCGAACCTGACGACGTTGCTAACACGAACCCTAGTAAGAGCCGTGCTTCGCAGAATTTACCACCGCATCGGAAACGCGACCCACTGAGAAAATCCGGCGAGAAACTCAGTGGGCTGTGTCTGAGGACTCTGAGGGTTAATTCACTCGTCGCGCCCTATCGACGAGTTCGACGAGAACGATGACTGGTGCTTAAGGTACCTAAAAGCACCGTTAGTGGATCGGGAGGAATTTAAACAAAAATCTCGTAACGCGTTGTAGAAGTACCGCGTTATAAGAGGGTTTCAGGGAACTTTTCGTGTTGGAGTGAAACCGTGTGTAAAATATCGTGTTATAACAGAGTTACCTGTAGGTGATTTTTAGTTTTTCTATAATTAACTTACCATCGATGCGCTATTCAGCTTAAGAACTGAAAAGAATATGTGAGAAACAATAGGCTTATCGAAATAAATTTAGATTCAAGGGAAACTGTTTGCTGTTTACAAAATACTATAATATTGGTGGGGCAGGTATCTGACTGCGTTATCACACACAATTACAGCAAAACACTGCTCTTGCTAGGGCTAATGTTAACTAAATCACTCAGGTTGAGTCCGTTAGCTCATCAACTCGTCCGCGCGTAGCTGGAATAGCCTATTAGGCATAAAAAACATACAATTCTAAAGTATGAGGTACTATTGTAATGTCGTGAATAGTGAAAACACATGGTTGCGTTTCTATATTGCCTGTTTTGCGGTATTACGACGTTCCTGACTATACGAATTAATAGAGTCGATCTACCGACGGTTCGCACTCATAGGGCTAAATAAAAGACATTATGAAAGCGAATGTTTAATTTTTTTTTTGTTTTTTTTTTTCCTAATAACATTTTTATATCAATAGATTAAAAGACGAGCTTACTTGTGTAGTTTAAAAAAATACTTGTAACATTTTTAAGTGTGTTTATATTTCGAATTTCGAATTTAAACGCATTAATAGAGTCGATCTACCGACGGTTCGCGCCCATAGGGCTAAATAAAAGACATTATGAAAGCGAATTTTTAATTTATTATGTTTTTTGGTAATAGCATTTTTATATCAATAGATTGAAAAACAAGCTTACTTGTGTATCACTGTGATGAATCACTGCGACGATATAATTCGCTACATCATTAACTAGCAAGTTGAAGCTCGCGTGTTGATAACCGTACTAAGTTTCAACTCAAACTAACTAACGATTGTCGGAGCTTATAAATCTCAAATCTACATAATATTATAAACTTTTATAAATAGATTAAATAGCTCTTTCTCTCTCTAGTGAGTAGGGAGATGCAAGCAACTGAATGCATGGGTGCAACTTTGACAGCGTCTTATCGTCAATTTACTCTTCAGTTACATGTTCATCACGTGGGCTGTTTATAAATAATAGATTTAGCAAAAAAACTATACTTCCGATTTTATAAAAGTCTAAGGTGTGATCTATAGTTTTTTTGTCCTATCAAAACTGGTGCGACTAGATCAATCAATCGGTCATACGATGACCGATTGATGATGATGAAATGTTCATTGTCTAAAATTAACGAATCGATATACGACTCCACGGTTTTAATGTTGAGAGTTTTAAATAAATTACGCATATGACGGGCAGTGCGTTAAGATTAGCATTGAGTAAACATTGTGCGGGAATTTTTTTTTTTTTTAGTTAGTAGCAGACGTAGCCGCGGGTTGAGAGACGTTAAATTTGATAAATAATGAAACGAATCTGATATACGTGTGCTTGTGTAACTTTCTGTGTACTTAGTTCGAGTTTTTAACTTCTCGATCGCGTAAAAGTTAACTCAAACATGTATGGTGTTGGAATAGCTTTCCTTCGTTTGCCGCTAGGGGCGCTGATCACACTGATCTGTTAAACTATCAGATCGATAGGTAGATCCGAAGATACGGATATAACAGATTCACCATGCATTGCCCGGGTCATGTTATATGCCATAGTCAAAAGTTTCCTATCTATTAATCCAGGTGAACTAATAACTTCAGCGCGAAAATTCACCTTAACATATTCAGCCATTTTTGGATGATTGTCTAACAGTCTCGTTTTTTGTATTAATGTATGTATGATGTTACATACAAGCTTTCACAATTACAATAATGTTGTTATACTGTACATAGTACAGATTCTTGGGTAGCTTAGAAGCTATGAAGGGGGAACAAAGAAATCGAATCGTAGTAGTTAGGCTTTTTCGTGTCAAAATTATGAACTAGAAAATAAATTACTGTAGATCACAGAGGGCATTGCATTATACCATTGATATATACAGGGTGTGTCATTAGGGTAAATCGAAGTTATTGTTTTTCTTGAGAATGTCAGGAGATACGAGCTCTTTGACATATCACATACCTTTTAAAACCTTTAAAATATTTTTAAAGAGACGGAAAGCTTACTTTATTATTTTCTAACTGAAATTTCAGTCATTTTTGAATTTAAATTTTTTATTTTATAAACTGATAGAATTCATGTTCATAGTTCGTTCGAAGTATTGAAACTCATTATCTTAAAATTTTTGTTAGGCCACTTCAACGCTAAAGGTGCGATATCTTTGTTTAGAATGATAATTTCGGTACACCATAATAACGATTAAAACAAATTAATTAACTCTCGCATTGAAAGCCAAAAGATCTAAAGAAAACAACCAAAAAATAAATCGCTTCACCATTACAATAAAAAAAAACTCTTAATTGTGAGATGCTTAAGACGAAAAGAATATTTGAGCTTTTGTATATAAGGTCGGAATTAATCCTCAGAAAAATTGTATTAATAAAGAGGTACTTTTTACACTTTT